ATATACAAATATAAGAAATTTTTTATATAGTCACATCTCTTTATAATCACCAAATATGGACTGTCCCAAATGTGTGACTATAAAGAGAGTTGACTATATATATATATATATATAAAGATTCGTACTTACGAATAGTGTTCTGAAAAAAATCTGTTCTGATCTGGGATTTGCAGATTTGATCTGAGTCAGATCGGTTCAGGTTTCAAAATTTTGATCTGTAGATCAGATGAGATTTAAAAAAAATCTGATCTGATCAGATTCAAATCGGATCAAATCAAACACGAGAAAATCTGATCCGATTTGAACAGATTTCGGATCAGATTTTTTTTTTAAATTTTTTTAAAAAAAAAAAATTCATTTTTTTAAAAACCCTTTTCTGGACGAACGGACGCCAGATGACCAAGATTTAAAAGAATGAACTAGGTAAGTTCGTTTCTTTTTTTTTGTTATTTTTACTTGAGGGAACTTAATTAATGGTTCCCTTCTTTTTTATTAGGATGCCTGAACGAACGAAACCTAACGACCAGGATTTAAAAAAAAAGAACAAACCTATAGTGAGTTTGTTCTTTTTTTTAAGGTTTTTTTTTATTTTTTATTTAAGGGAACTTAATTAACGTTCCTTTTCTTTTTTTTTAGGAAACCTGAGCGTGAACGAAATCATTAATGACCAGGATTTAAAAAAATAACGAACTATGGTAAGTTCATTTCTTTTTTTAAGTTTTTTTTTATTTTTACTTAAGGAAACGTAATTAACGTTTCCTTTCTTTTTTTAGATAACCTGGACATGGGCGAAGCCATTAATGACCAGGATTTAAAAAAAGAACGAACTATGGTAAGTTCGTTTCTTTTTTTAAGTTTTTTTTTTATTTTTACTTAAGGGAACGTAATTAACGCTCCCTTTCTTTTTTTTTAGAAAACCTGGACGTTGACGAAGCTATTAATGACCAGGATTTAAAAAAAGAACCATATCGGCTAACTATCAAGATTGGGCCTAATTTTATATAGTAATTTGATTAATGTTACACCATCACAAATAGTAAAAAAAATTTTTTTTGTGATCAATTTAGCGAACGCACCCTGAAAAAAAAAATAACATATTAAAACACGCGTCAAACCGATGAACACAACCCAAAACCGATGAGTTTGAGTAGTGGAAGACTAGTAATTGGCAATTGGTGTCTCGCGCTTTTGAATATTACCAGTTGTTAACTGTAAATAAAGTTAGTTATTGCAAAATTACTTTTTATTTTTTAAATAATATTAAAAACATGTTTATACTTTTTCAGATTTAATTACTACTAATATGTCAAGCACTAATACAAGTTTTGCTTCACTTACAACGTCTTTTACTACATCTACATCAGAATTTATCTGTTCAACTTGTCAAAAAAGATTTAAGAAACAAAGTGGGCTTTCACGGCATTTGAATATTGTGAAAAAATATAATATTCCGCGTAATGACTTGGATAATTTGTCAGAAACAAACAATGAAAAGTTTAGAAGTATTCTAGTTTACTTAATTAACCGCAAACTTCCACATGGATTTAAAAAAGGAGGTCGTCAATTAGTGTCTCTTGCCTGTACCGAACATCAGTTTTTTAATATTTTTAAAGGACATATTTATCATCATCATAGTAATAGAAATGTCTACAAGTGTGTTTTCCAAGGATCTTCTGGATATCAAATATTAAGTGAAATCTTGAATAATCCATTATGGGGTCAAAAATTTTATGACAATGAACAACAAACTTATGTTGTTTTATTTAGTGATCCACTTCAGCATTTAAAAAATAACCTATTAGCCATTGCAACTCGTTGTATTACTGAAGGTGTAAACACTAAAAGGCGCAAATCTAATTATAATCCTGGAGAAGTTGTTGTTGAATGGAAAATTAAGGGTGAAAGAGATGCAAAGGAGAATTATTGTGAAGCAGGGTTTATATATATACGTTTTTGGGTGAAACAAATTTAAAACTTTATTGTAATAGAAAAAAAAATTATATACGTCTATAATAAAGTGTTTTGATATTTTTTTCTATCTAAATATTAACCAAAGATAAATTTTTAAAATTATAAAATGTGAATATTTTGAGGTTTTAGATAGGAAAGTGAGACATTATTTTGAGTATAAAATAGAAGTCAGTTTTCATGTTCCAAAATTTCGCAGATTGCTGATGTTTTATTTTGAAAATTTCCACCATTCTTGAGAGTTTTCTTAAAAAAATAACAAACATGATTGTGGTTCTTTTTTTTGATAGCACTGCACGAAAATGCATTTAATCCCCACCTTTTATGGATAAGCATAAATTCCCAAACATGTGATACCAAAACATGAATATATGGGTTACATCTGATGATCGATAAAGTCCTTGTTCTAAAATATTATTAGTTTTAGGATCTATCACAGTTTTTTTCAAAAATAATTCGTACCATACTTTTGCTTTTAAACGAAAATATTGTGGATCTGTTTTTATTTCTCCTAAAAGGTCATATAACTTAGCAAATCCATTCCACAAACTTTTAATTAATGCAGCACGTTCTGGATTAAAAAACTTTGCCAAATTAAAGTTCCAAAGAACATGAAGCTTATCATCCCCCATTAAAGAGGTGTAATCCCAATTCTCAGTACCACGAATTTTCTAAAACTCAAATCGGATTTTTAATTTTTCCATCTCTTTGATTATAATATTCTGAGATATGTCATTAAATAATCCCTCATTTTTGATTTCTTGTAAAACTAACTCCCACAAGCGGTCGGTTATACGTAACATTATGTGAAGCTTATCAGGAACATGATTTTTAAGCAAAATCATATTGAAAAGTGGTGGTAATTTATGACCTGGGTATGCTATTGGATTTTCATTTAAAATACTCATTGATTTACTAATCACCCAGTCAACTTGCCTATTTCCACGTTGGTTTTTAGTTATCTCACACCATGGACAGAAATAATTGGAGTTTGCGGCATTAAAACCCAAACAGGTAGCGAGAAACTTCCAATCTGAGCTAAAAAAAAGCTCAAAATTCCAAAAAATATTGTTTATAATCATTCCATTATTACTTAATTCTTGCAATTCTTGAATTAGGGCATTTACTGCAACTATTAAAGTTAGATAATTTTCTGTTCCTGAAAATAAAACGGTTGTATAATGACAATCAGGCTTGAAAAGATTCATTGAATCATCCAATAGTGCTACGGTAATCATCACATGCTTCACTTTTCATCCTACGTTCTGCCCATCACCAGATATTCGAAGATGAATAGTTGGTATTGCAGGATCTAATACTCCTTTTTTAATATATGATGGTATTATATATTCAAGAATTTTTTTAACACTTCGGTAAGCACCCTTTCCTGTTGCACTAACAACTTGTTCAATAATTAATGGATCGGTTATATCAGGTTCTTCCAATGGTCCTTTTTGTATAATAGTAGAATTTAAATCAATAAAATTAATGGGTATTAATTCTCCTATACATGCATTAATCTCTTGACGGGTTTGAGAAATAGCATATTCTCGTGGTAATGTTGATTCTACAGCTGCAAAATGGCAATATGCATTACAAGGTATATTTTCTATATCTTGTACATATGCCATTGATTGTAATTTTTGTTTTTTTTTAACACTATCATCATCTTCAAATGTTACATGATATTCTTTATTTTCTATAGTAAAATCCAAAGTTCTTAAAACTACACGATCTTTAGGATTGTAGAAGTTTTTAATTGAATTCTCAAAGTGTATTTGTTCTTTTTTCGCAAGACCTTTTGCACGTTTAATTTGTATAGTTTTGCTTAATTCTTCATGTAGTTTCAATTCGCGTGGTCTACCTTTGCGATATCTATCAATGCATTTTAATTGAAGTCCAAAAAAATAAACTCCAGAAACAGCAGTCTTCTTATCTGATGTTATAATCTGATAAAATATGTATAAATTAAAATACATTCTTTTATGATTTTTTTTTAAAATAATAACTTACTTTGTGCAGTTCAACAGAAGCATCAAATGGTGATTGAGCTAAAACAACTTGATATTGTAAATTATCTCCAAAACAAATTAGGTAATGAGGTTTTTCTTCTGCGTAATAAATAGAATATTGAATAGTACGACTTCTACTAGCCAGACCCCAGGTAGTTTTAATAATATAATTATCAGGTATAGGAAAATAATTAGGTGCTTCGGTATGATTTACAGTTGGTGGGTAGGTACCTTCTTGAATAACAACATAAGTAAATTTTCGGTCACCATAGTATATTATTTCAGATGAAATAGGGTAATTTTCTTTTTCAAAAGGTTTTTGCTGCTTAGAATTTGACATTGAAAGTAACAGTTTTTTTACGCGTTAAAAAATAGCAGCATATAAAAAATTGTACAACAGATCTATAAAAATGCGATAAGTATAAAAATTTCTGGTTATTAAAAATTCAATATGAGTCTTAATACCATATTTTTTTACCACTTAACTTTCGTAACAATAACAGAAAAATTTATATCGTATGTATAAAAATTTTTTGGCGTCATTAGTGGCGTCATTAGTGTTACCACATAATGTCAGGTGATTTGACTATCGTTATGATTGGTCCATAAAATTTGGAGTTATCTCAAAAAAATTAGAGTTAGGGTATAGATTAGGGCATATGTAAACTATGGTAAGTTCATTTCTTTTTTTAAGTTTTTTTTTTTATTTTTACTTAAGGGAATGTAATTAACGTTCCCTTTCCTAGACGAACGAAGTCATTAAGACGTTAATGACCAGAATTTAAAAAAAAGAACGAACTATAGTAAGTTTGTTTCTTTTTTTAAGTTTTTTTTTATTTTTACTTAAGGGAACGTAATTAACGTTCCTTTTCTTTTTTTTAGAAAATCTGGATGAACGAAGTCATTAAGACGTTAACGACCAGGATTTAAAAAAAAGAATGAACTATGGTAAGTTTGTTTCTTTTTTTAAGTTTTTTTTTTAATTTACTTAAGGGAACGTAATTAACGTTCTCTATCTTTTTTTTTTAGAAAACCTGGACGAACGAAGTCGTTAAGACGTTAACGACCAGGATTTAAAAAAAAAGAATGAACTATGGTAAGTTCGTTTCTTTTTTTTAGGTTTTTTTTATTTTTACTTAAGGGAACATAATTAACGTTCTTTTCTTTTATTTTTAGGAAACCTGGACGCGAAACGAAGCTGAACGACCAAGATTTAAAAAAACGAACTATGGTAAGTTCATTTTTTTTATTTTTATTTTTATTTTTACTTAAGGGAACGTAATTAACGTTTCCTTTTTTTTAGGAAACCTGGACGTAGGATGAAGCTGAACGACCAGGATTTAAAAAAACGAACTATGGTAAATTCATTTTTTTATTTTTATTTTATTTTTTTTTACTTTAAGGAACGTAATTAACATTCCCTTTCCTTTTTTTAGTACAAGGACCAGATTCGAACCAGATTCAGATCAGATTCAAATCAGATTCAAATAGATCCGAACCAGATTCGGATCAAATTAAACCAAATCTGATCAGATTTGGATCAGATCAGATCTATTAAAATAAAAATCAGATCAGATCAGATTTAAGCTAAATCTGGTTTGAACTGATCTGTTAGGAGCACTACTTACGAATCTTTATCTTTGGATTTTCGTTCTTCAGAAGTCCACCCGAACCTATAAAAAAAAAGAAAGAATGGTTAGTAAACCATTCATAATAATAATAAATAAATAAAAATTAAAGATTCGTATGAATCTTTGGGTTTTCATTCTTCGGAAGCCATCCGATCCTATAAAAAAAAAGAAAGAATGGTTAATAAACCATTCGTAATAATAATAAATAAAAGATTTGTACTTACAAATCTTTGGATTTTCGTTCTTCGAAAGCCCACCCGATCCTAAAAAAAGAAAAGAACGGTTATTAGTAAACCGTTTATATATTAAAAAAAAAACAAAAAAAAAGAACCAAGATTCATACTTACTTACGAATTTTGGTTTCTTAGTTTTTCGTTCTTTAGAAGCCCGCCAGATCTTAAAAAAAAAGAAAAGAATGGTTAGAACCGTTCATATATTAAAAAAAAACAAAAAAAATTAAACCAAAATTTGTACCTACTTACGAATCTTGGTTTCTTGGTTTTCCTTTTTTCAGAAGCCCACTACACTGGTAAAAAAATGGTCTATCCTACACATATCTTACACATATCTTACATATATTGGGTACTCAAAATGTAGAAAATCATACACAAATAATACACATATCATACACATATCAGGTACTTATATATATAGTATACCTATCAGGTACCTGATATATGTATGATATATATATTAGTACCCGATATGTGTATGATATGTGTATTATTTGTGTATGATTTTCTACATTTTAAGTACCCAATATGTGTAAGATATGTGTAGGATAAATCATTTTTTTACCAGTGCCAGATCCTAAAAAATAGAAAAAAACGGTTATTAGTAACCGTTCATAATATTTTTTAAAAAAATAAAAAAAAATCCAAGATTCTTATGAATCTTTGGAATTTTCCCGTTCTTTGAAATATGGAAGCCCACCCAAATTTATAAAAAATAAAAGAACAGTTATTAGTAAGGGCAGTGACATTTATTACGTAATATCTATTTACTATAAGTCCATACTCCTCCACCCCCATGTAATATGAAAAATCTTATGTTACACTTATATGTNTATGTGTAAGATATGTGTAGGATAAATCATTTTTTTACCAGTGCCAGATCCTAAAAAATAGAAAAAAACGGTTATTAGTAACCGTTCATAATATTTTTTAAAAAAATAAAAAAAAATCCAAGATTCTTATGAATCTTTGGAATTTTCCCGTTCTTTGAAATATGGAAGCCCACCCAAATTTATAAAAAATAAAAGAACAGTTATTAGTAAGGGCAGTGACATTTATTACGTAATATCTATTTACTATAAGTCCATACTCCTCCACCCCCATGTAATATGAAAAATCTTATGTTACACTTATATGTTATATGACCTTTAAATACCCTCCCACCCTAAAATATTACGTAATAAATGTCACTGCCCTAACCATTTGTAATATTTTTTTTAAAAAAAAATAAAAAAAAATCCAAGATTCTTACGAATCTTGGAATTTTCCTGTCCTTCGGAACATCTGATCCTAAAAAAAAGAAAAAGAACGGTTATTAATAACCATTCATAATATTAAAAATAAACAAAAAAAAAATAACCAAGTTTCATACTTACGAAACTTGGTTTTTTCCATTTTTCAAAAGTCACCTAAGAGCCAAACCTAAAAAAAAGTAAAAAAAGAACGGTTAGTAACCGTTCATATTAAAAATATAAAAAAAAACTCCAAAGAATTCGTACTTACAAATCTTTGGGATTTCTATACTTTGGAAGCCCACCTGAACGGCTGAACCTAAAAAAAAAGTAAAAAAAGAATGGTTAGTAACTGTTCATACTAAATTAAAAAATAAATAAAAAATAAACTAAGTTTCGTATTTACGAAACTTGGTTTTTCCATACTTTGGAAGCTCACCCAAACAGCCGAATCTAAAAAAAAGTAAAAAAAGAACAGTTAGTAACCATTCATATTAAAAAAAAATAAAAAAAAAACTCCAAAGAATTCGTACTTACAAATCTTTGGGGTTTCTGTATTTCAGAAGCCCACCCGAGCCTTTTAAATGGGCGTCTTAAATCTAAAAAGAAAAAAATGAAAATGTCAGTGAAACGTTTTGTTAAAAGAAGTAAAAATTTGAAAGTATATGTATACCTTCGAAAGAGATAAGTGACGAAAGGAAAGAGGAAAAGGTAAGGAAGGGAAAAGCGAAGGAAGGAAAACGAAAATGAAGGGAGGGAAAAGGGAAGAAGAGAAACTGGGACAAAGGAAAAGGGAAATGAAGGAAGGGAAAGGGCAGGGAGGGAAGAAAGAAAATTAAAAAAGTTTAAAAAAAGATGAACTTTTATTTTAATACACGTAATGCATAATGCGTAATATTTGATTAACATAATTCAACTAGGTTGAATATATGTCTAATCATAGATCTTTACTAATTAAAGTCAAATTTTATTAATTCTAGTCGAATATAGGCCAAATTGTATTAAGGCTGAATATTCCTTTTTTGATTAGTGATTTGATAAGCTAGCCTATGCTGAATCCATTCTTGACTAAGGAAAAGTTAGGACAATTCTGCAAATTTTTCAGGATTTTTACAGAAGTTATTTTTATTAGACTTTTATATAAAATATACTAGATAAGGAGCTTACCTGCACAAAACCAGTTCTTTATTCATAATTTTCATTAGACTTATTAATGGAAACCTTAGGACAATTATTTGACTTAAATTTTTTCATTAGACTTATACCAGAAGGAATTGGGACAAATTTTCGTTAGACTTAATAATTTGATATGCCATTTATTAAGCTAACACGCATAGATATAGAACATGGCATATATATTTTCGTTAGATTTATGATGGAGAAATTGGGACAGTTAGACTTATTTACAATTTTTTTTGTTAGACTTATTTATTTGATATGCCATTTAATGAGATAACACGCCTAAAACCATTTCTGTTATACACATTTTTGGGTAGACTTATTTAGGGCAGTTAGAGTTATTTGGTTAGACTTATTTTTTGGTTAGATTTATTTATAAATTTTCGTTAGACTTAAAAAAACTGTTAGACTTAATTCTGAGGTAATAAGGACTATTAGACTTATTTTCATTTGACTTATTTTTTCATTAGACTTATTTAAGGGGTAATAAGAACTGTTAGACTTATTTTCATGATTTTCATTAGACTTAAGTAGTTAATATGATAATTAATGAGTTAACTCACGCAGAATCAATTTCTGATATAATAATTTTTGTTAGATTTAATAAATATAACTGAAAAGTTGATATAGAAATTAAGATTTTAGAGCTGTTAGAAGCTTTTCTAATATATTGATAAAAATTGATATGCTTTCTGAAGATGGCAAACCCCTACAAAGCTTAAAAATATAATATCAAAATTAAGATTCTAGAGCTGATAGAAGCTCTTCTAATATAATAAGAAAAATCGATATTGTTTTTAACGTTTTGTGGCCAAGACCCGGAAAATGCTTATATATGTAAGGTACCAAGGTGCTTAGCTAACATAGTAAAGTTTTATGATGTAAGAATTTTATAATACTTAATTTTAAGAAAATTTTATACTATGTAAGATAATTAAATTGCATATTTTTGGTATTATTTTAAAATACTAAGAGTTTTTAGTTGCTTTTTTTCATATTTATATAACTTTTTAAAATATTATATATTGAATTTATAATTAATTTTTATTTTATTTTCACTAACAGTGAGTGTTAATTTTGTACTACATTTCGCAATTTTATAAACAAAAATTTTTTTTTGATGAAATTTCATTTTTTTTTTCAATGTTTTATTAATTATCTGTCAATAGTATCTTTTGAATTTTTATTAAACTCAGTGTATTATTTTTAATATAAAATTACTATATTATACATAGTGCTCCGAAAAAAATCTGATCTGATCTGGATCTGCAGATTTAATCCAAGTCAGATCCGGTTCGGGTTTCAAAATTCTGATCCGTAGATCAGATCAGATTTAAAAAAAATCTGATCCGATCAATTTCGGATCAGATCAGATCATAACACAAGAAAATCTGATCCGATCTGAACAGATTCAGATCAGATTTTTTTTTAAAAAACTTTTCCTAGACGAACGGATGAAGCCGGACAACCAAGATTTAAAAGAACGAACTAGGTAAGTTCATTTCTTTTTTTTTGTTTTTTTTACTTGAGGGAACGTAATTAACGGTTCCCTTCTTTTTTAGTAGGAAGCCTGGACGAACGAAGCCTAATGACACGACCAGGATTTAAAAAAAATGAACGAACTATGGTAAGTTCGTTCCTTTTTTTTATTTTTTATTTTTTATTTAAGGGAACGTAATTAACGTTCCCTTTCTTTTTTTTTT